GAGAGCCCGTAAGAGTCCAGGTACACAGGTCTCAGCACCACTGTTCTTCCTGACTCTCTCCAGTATTCACCTTTGGGTGAAATGCCAGGAAGGTTTTAAACCCCTAAACACTTTTTAGAAGAATTGGCATGTAGTTTTCAAAACTAGATTCCAGCAGGTTAGAAAAGAGGCAGTTGACTAATTCAGTGATTCTGCCCGTGTCTCTTGGACATCCGCACTCCATTTAGGCCTAGTTAGGGGCACCGGCTGATCCCAGCCCTGTTCCCTGGACACTCAGCTCCCTTATCATTCCCCCCAGATCCATGCCTTGAAGCAGGTTGCTTATTCTTCCATGGCATTTTCTCATACTGAATCAGAGGGCCTCGGGTTAAAAATATGCACTGTCACATCAGAGGCTGGAGAAATCCATGACAGCAAAATATGGAGGGTGCATTGGCTTGGACAAAATTGTTAAGGCATTAGTAGTGGGGAGGGTCTAATTCTGAAGAACCAGAGATAAAAGGTTGTTAGATTCAACCAGACCAGGGCATACATAGCTTAGGCAATAGTTCCTCAAGAGTGCATTAGATTAAAAGGGAGATGGACATTTCCTGTATCTGAAATGGCCAAAGCTGAAAATTATACCTATGAAGACTCTAACACCACACTAGAGAGAGGAACTCACAGATGCTTGAGTGTGTGAAAACACACTCAATAAAAAACATCCCTTGGAGGGGGCTAGTGAGACATCTAAGAAAACAACATACAATAATTATAGAAAAAAAAACTTTTAAAAAATTCCTTTGAACAATTTTCTTCTCATATAGCATCAGGATGCACAATACTTTCTTTTACCATAAAAGTCATTGTTTGGACACAGCTTTGACCCCTTAACTTCAGCGTAGAAGAGTCTGAATTGTTCCAGTAGAACCTCAATTCACCAGTGACAACAAACGACAATCTCTAACTTATCAATGCTGCCAGATTCCAGGGTCAGGATCCCTGTGGTCAGTAGCACAACTTCTTGAGAAGATTACAGACATGGTACAAACATCTTTTAAAGGCTTACCCGCACAGAGGCAAATTTTCTTTATCTGTTTTTATAACCACTATTCCAGAAACATTTTCAATAAATTATTTACATCTGGCCTTTGACTTCAGGTTAATAAACAGTTTATTTAGCACAGGAATATTATATATTATAGATCTCCAGAAGGATGTGTGTAATACTACCTAAGACATAGTCTGGTAAAATGAAAACTAAAAAAAAAAAAAAAAGTCAAATTTCAGCTTGCCTACTAAATTACAGAAAATGGATAGATCAAAAGAACCTGCTGATTCTGCCTATCTCATCATGTGGTTGCAGTACCATATGATTGCACATCAATAGATGTCTTGGCACAACTTCCCTTTCTGTAACTTCCCTGATCTTCTAAAAATCAGTCATAGTAGGAGTGTCTACACCACAGAAAATAATGTGATACTAACTAGACATTAACTAGAGATTCAGAAAAATCAGGGGTTGAGCAATTACCAGTACCGTCATGGCCAATGCCTCAAAACACCCATGGTCAGCATGACCCAACACAAGGCAAGTATGCCAGATAAGAAGCTGGAGAAAGAGGTGGCAGTTTGAACCGACTGCTCTGAAAGTGCCTTCCTGTGAGATTTTCATCTACCACCACTAAGAGACTCCCTCCCAGAAGTACAGGGCCAGGGTAAGGGTCCTGAAACATAATCTTCCTTAGCTTTTTGGCTGGCTTGGCTGATCCTTTCAGGCCATTCAAATCTTGTCCAGATGGCATGGGAGAGGTCATCCATGACCTTTATCTCTAGTGACTCTCTTGGTCATTATCTACACCTTCCAGTGTTTTTCTTCAGAACACTCATCACTGCCAACCATATAAGCTCTGTGAACAAAATTTTGTTTTGTTTGGTTCAGTGTCGCATTCTAGCACTAAACACAGTACATCGTCAAAGACTCCAAGGTGAGTGAATTAAACATCGTAAGCAATGCATATGAAATTATTACTAGATACCAAAAATATTATAGGAAGACATATTGTTGCTACTCATTATTCACCGAATTCACCCGTTCACATGTATGTATTTGTAACCCCCAAACAATACTCAGGATGCTTTCTGAACCATCCACAGGGATAAACGTTCGTAGCTGAAACAAGGAATAAGACGACATTAGTACTTTCTTTTTATTTCAGTGTTCACGCTGTAATCAAGTGCTTTTCTGCCTTCTCTATAGGCTCAGGCACTTGTGTTTGATGTTGCTGCTGTAAACGACCCCAAACACAATGGCCAAGTGCTGCACAGTGCTCTTCAATGCAAGACTTCTGCAGTGTGCCAGCCAGAGGAAAGTGTGCCCTAGGTAAACTCCATTCAGGCTGGAGTTACAGTGCTGTGGTTGGCTTCAGTGTAAGTGAGTTAACAATATATATTGAAGAGCGTGTCGTCATGCAGTGATACACAAAAAATAAGGTTATCTACTGGTCGGTGAAAATGATAGCCATCGAAGAACCAACTTAGAAAAATAAAATAAAATAGAAGGGCTGGGAGCAAACCAAACTGCCTATTTGTACTAAGGAGAAAATAACTGGGCTCAGAAAAAAGCTATTTGTTTTGAGTTTGATTTTTTTTCAGCATATTACATATAAACAACTAGATTTTTAAAAGAAGTATCCTACTCAACCTTCCCAGTAATACTGGCCCTTTAGTAAGAAATGGCCTTTATGCTCTTTCAAGAAGGACTACATTGTCCTGTTAGTTTAAATACTCTTTATAAAATATTCTTTATAAAACCATTTATATTATTTTAAAAAGCAGATGATTTTTACATGCCACGATGGGTATTAGTTAATACAAGGACTGTAGCTAATTTATTCCAGGCATTAGAAACCTTAGGGCATGTATAGGTAGATGGAGAAACAGGATTTAGTCAATCCCAGTATAATGTGAGAGGGGCAAAGATTATTTGCAGAGTTAAAATCATGATTCTTGTTTTTTCAGCAGAAATTCATGACGTAAGAATTTGGGTAACTTTTCCCCTTTTTCAGATGATGGCAACAGTAGAGAAGAACCCTAGGGGCCTGGGCAGTGGCAAGACTTGAACACTATTTTCTCTACTTCCTTACCCGGCCCTCAGTCCCTTGAGTCCTTTCGGCCAGGAGTTTCCAATAGAGAGTGCTGCCTGTGAACACGTGAACTTGGACTTCTGTGTGACCCAAACAGTAGAAAACCGAGGCAGTTAAATGAGCCATCTTGGGGCCTATCCCGTCTCCCCCAGAACAGAAAGAGAAGTTGAAGGGCAGATGCTTGCGGGAGGCAACAGTGATGGTGGCCCTATAAAACGCTGTATCCATCCATGCTTTACGTTGGCATAAGCAGTTATCAGTGACAAGAAGCTGTAGCACAAAATCTGGATTCTTCTTTTTCCTCCTCTTCCTTTTCTTCCTCCTCCTCCTCTGCATTTCAGTTCTTTCTCAAATACATTTTGCTTCCTTAAATGAGGGAATTTCTCATTTAAAAAAAAAGTTTTCAGGGCATTTATCAGTTCTTCAGTAGGAACATTTATATTACTGACTAAGAATAAAATTTAAGCAGTTCAGGGGTTAAAAAAAATCACCATGCAAGTTAGCTAATCTTACACCAAGCCTGCAGCCAATCTCATTGAATTTTCAGTCATGTTGTGAGTTCTTCCTTCTTCCCAGCTCAGATATATTTTACTAAAAGTAGAAATCATTTTTTCACTATGTATTTAAAAACTCATTCATATTCATTATGGCTTACAGATGGACAAAGGTGGGTTTCTCCTGAGACTTCGTTCAGCTTAGTTCTTAGTCTTAGAAAAGGTGGACCTGAATTAAAGTATGGCCTTGACCATTCTTAGGACAGGTAAGTCCTAAGGTATCACCGATATTCAGTAAAATAAATACATTTTAGGAGATCAGAGTTAACTCTCGTTAATAAGTTTATAATGAATTTCCTTCCTAGGGGCGTTTGCCTGCAGAATTTGGAAGCTGTTATTGGAATACAATAAATTCTAAGTTTTGAAAAGGGCACTTGGCTGAGCACGGCCAATGTTCCCTAATTCACTTATTGCAGCTCTGGTTTCTCGACTTACAAATACATCTGTTTGCTGCTATGAAAACGAGGCTCTCAGTTTCTATAGAGTTTGCGGCAACTACTCCTGACACTTCTCTTTTGATCAAGAATATGCTGGCTATCGCGTCTTTGCCATCCTCCTTTCTCATTGGTGTTGGGTCAGGTTGGTCTCTACACTGTAAGCCTGGAGAGCTACGTCACTATCCTTCAGAATGCACTTGGCCTCTGGGAAGTGTCATCGTTTTCAGAAGAGAATAGGCTGTGTCTTCATTAGGCCCTCTGGACAAACAGAAGCAGTCATTTTGAACACTTGGTAACAGAAAGGCTCTTTCATGATTGTCTGACAACAAAAGAGCAGCAGAGATATGAGAACCTTGGAATGGCACTCTAAAACAACCTCCAAGGGTAGAAAGTGGGAGAGGGGGTCCCCAGATTAGTCTTGAGTCCATAAGTCTCACATTGAAGTAGACATTTAACCCACAGAGGAAGGGACCTGTAAGAAACCACCATCCTATGATCTTGCATGACTCTGACTTGGTCCTACCTGCTATAAAAAACCAATCTCTAATGTGACGTCCCTACCTGTGACTTCATCTCCCTTCCATCTCCCTACCCAATCTCTGCAGTCACAACTTTTCACTCCTTCTCTCATGCTTTTAGCTAGAAAAGCATCAACCAGAAATCTTACCATCTTACACTTAAATTGAAAGGAGCCCTTGGCTTTGTTCATTCCTTTCCCATATTCGATTCTTCTCTTCAACATTTTTCATATCTGCCACTTGTTGTGGGACAATGGTCTTTTATCCTGTCACTTGTATTATTTTAGTAAAATGCTGATTGGCCAGTAGCCAGGCAGGAAGTAGAGGCGGGGCAATGAGAACAGAAGAATTCTGGGAAGAGGAAAGAGTCAGTCTGCAGTTGTGACCCAGCCGTAGAGGAAGCAATATGAGAACACCTCACGGATAAAGGTACCAAGCCACACATGGCTACATAGACAAGAATAATGGGCTAGTTTAATATGTAAGAATTAGTAGCCTGAGCTACTAGGCCAACCAATTTATAATTAATGTAGACCTCTGTTTATTTCTTTGGGGCTGAAAGGCTGCAGAACCAGGCAGGACAGAAATCTCTGTCAGCAGTCACTCATGCTCACCCTAGCATTAGAATCTATGGCACACATGGACCAGTTGTTCCTTGGTTCTCCACATCATTTGTTGCCTTGATGCCCTACCTTGCCCAGCAGTGTTAGATTCAGTCATGGATTCTACCCTGTCTCTTCTCTGGTCCTCTGTCCACAAAACCTTGTCAATTCTTTCTCAGTATGTCGCTCACAGCTAATGCTCTATTTAAGCCCTCCTTACGACATATCTTTATAGACAAGAACTTCTTAATTTCCCTTTCCTTTACCCTTCCATCCCACCATCTTTTTAGTTCCTCATTGAACCATAAAAGCCATTGTCAATTTTTGACCTTCTGTCCAACTTTCTCCAGACATCTCTACACCTACACACACACACACACACACACACACACACACACACACACACTGAGTGAGTACCTTGCCACCTCACTTGGTGCTAAGCCAATTTATTATTATTTTTACTTATGCCTTCAATTATTTTTAATTTTCACTATATCTCTAATGCTTAAGTTCTATTATTCCCATTTTACAGGGGAAATGGAGAGTTAAAATGAACAGCTTTTCTGGTGACAGTTACAGTCAGAATTCTCATCAGTTTGACTCCTAACCCATACTTCTCCGGACTGTGAGGGCCTTCCACAGGCCAGTAAACTTCCTAAACTCTTCCAACCTCTGATTTTATCTTATTTATTTACTTTTGTTATTATTATTATTACTTTTTACTTTTACTATTTATTGTTTTTTTGTTTTCTTTCAAGACAGGATCTCTCTGTATAGCTCTGGCTGTCCTAGAACTCACTCTGTAGACCAGGCTGGCCTCAGACTCACAGAGATCCACCTGCCTCTGCCTCCTGAGTGCTGAGATTAAAGGCATGCACCATCACAAGCCAACTACAACCTCTGATTTTTATACATCTGGTCGACCTGATCTACCACATTGCCACAAGCCTTGTGTTCTGGCAGATGCCTCTTGAGATCACAAACTTACCAGTCAGGATCACCAGCATGTCCTTACCCCCTCTCTACTTCCGTTTGCTCATAAAAACTAACAGCATTCATCTCAGAGAAGTGCTGAGAACAGGCTGATGCTTTCTCTCACTGGCTTAATCTTTAGCTATCACTTCCCTCTTGTTTCAACTGACAAAGATACAACACCAAGCTGACAATGACCTTTCAATGATTAATTTAATCTCAACAGAATATTTTCTGTGACAATGTCCCTTAATTTCATGTACATATTCTCATGGATGTATTGAGTCATTTTGTCTTACTCTTGAATATCTATTACATCACCGTCTGCTATTCTTCCTTGTGGAAGTCTTCTCTTTTTCAAAACAATGATGAATTTCTGTAGGAAGCACTATTTCTCATCTGCCTCCCTGCCAGACTACATTACTGTGCTGAACTCAAAAAAGGTTTTGCCTCCAAGCTGAGAACCTTAGATTTACCTTTCACCAATTACTAATTAACCATAACATCAGTGACCTTGGCCAAATTCCTCTTCTATATGCTAACCGCCTCTAGCCAAGGCCCCACCGCCTGCACCTTCAGTCATTGGCTCACTTATCTGTGGCCATTAAAGGAAACCCAAGGAAGCCCAGTGCTGCCGGAGCAAGAAAATCATAGAGGACACAGAGAAAAACTAAGCCCAAAAGGACAGAGGCAACAACACATGGAAAGCCTTGGTTTCTTTGTCTTTGTCTGAAACAGAGGGGAAAAGTGAGACCATACATTCTGGATCTGAAGTACAGAGATCTGAATCCTTGACTCCCACCTGTGGCTGAGAGATTAATCCCCTTCCTCTATGGCTCGCTCTCCTTACCTGTACAATGGGGATGATGATGATGATGATAACATGTTGGTATCATTTGACCTGGTCCCCCTAGATTCTTGGAGAGAGAGGAATTTGCATAAGAATGTGTATTCTCAGCAAAGGCACCAGGAGGCAGGGAGAGGAAAGATGAAGAAGTGAAGCAGATGAAGCCTTCGCAGAGCGAAGGCTCCAGCTGACCCCACAGAGCTCCAAGCTGGCACGGCCATGCGCAGATACAGGTCTGTCCCTGGAGCCAGGCAATCCTAGAAAGGCAAACAACCTTGAACACACAGCTCCTTGCTGCCAAGAGCAGTTTCTAGGAAGAGACTTGACTATGAGTTCACAGCAGACAACATTCCAGTAGACAAGGGAATGGACGCTTTCACCCTGTAAGGGGACAGCTGTGTGGCACCTTAGAGCATCTATTACAGTTGATTTAAGGACTAAGTGAACAAATTCAAATGAATTGCTTAGACTGTACCTTGTGTATTTTAACTCAAGAGAAGTGTCAGCCATTATGTAGGCTTCATTACCTAGAAGGTCTCTTTACTTTACCCGAGGGCTTCCAGGTTATGATGTGAAATCCAAGATGGCAGCATATCATTCTACTTCAGCATCTGACATCACTAAACTCTGTAAATATTTATGCATTTATTGGGTTATTCGTGTTGGCTCCTCTGCCAGTTAAATAAATCCTTAGCATTGCTGTGGATTAATCCTTCTGTACACTGTGAAAATGTGCTGCTCTCGTTGTTAATAAAAAAGCTGATTAGCCAATAGCTAGGCATGATTTTCAGGCCAAAGAACATGCAGGAAAGAAGAAGAGCAGAGTCAGAGGAGTTGACAATCAAACTGAGAGAGGAAACAGGAGATGCAAAATGAAAGAGAGGCAACACCACATGACAGAATGTGAATTAATATAAATGGATTAATTTAAATTATAAGAGCTAGTTAGTAGTAAGCCTGAGCCATCAGCCAAGCATTTATAACTAATAGAAAGTTTCCATGCTGCTGGTGGACAGAACTTATTGGTGGTCTAGAAGGAAAACTTTGCCTACATAACATGCTGTCTTTTCAAGGGTTTGTTTTCATACTATCTGTCACAGTTTTAAGCAAACAGAACAACGTCTTCCTGACTAAACATGGTCATCGCTGAACACAGCTGCTGATGACTTACTGAAACACACCACTTGTAAAGTAGATCACATTTTAAAAACTGAGGCCAAGCATAGTTGAGTACTTAGATACCATCAGGACTAGAACCAGGGAAATCTCTAGCGCAGTACATCCTCCTTATGGTCTTTGAGGTGTTCTTTCTTCTTTATAATATCCCAAGCTCTAGGAACCAAAGTGAGGGACCCTTGAGGCTGTAACAGATCTGATTTACACACATACTCCCCTGATTATGTTTTCTTGGTTCAAAGGATGCAAAATTTCACTTATGATCAGTGAATTTAAGAGTAGTAATACATTGACTATAGTTAATTAAAATGTATTATATCCTTAAAAATTCACTAAGGCTTGAAGTCTACTTACCATGAACAGTTAAGCATCTGAATTAACACATAAAGTTCCTTACCTTCTTTGGTTTAGAGATGTAGGCATATTTGAAAGCATGTTATAGATGATAACTCTATACAATTTTGGTCAATCAAAAATAAGTAAATAAAATTAGAGAGATTAATACTTTATTTCTCTCACCATATATACCACTTTTGCTCAAAATGTTGTTATATCATAAATGATAATGTGTGAGTTTATTAATAAATAAATACTATTTTCCAGTCTGGATTTTCCTTTCTTCCTTCTTTCTTTCTTTCTTTCTTTCTTTCTTTCTTTCTTTCTTCCTTTCTTTTTCTTTTTTTTTTTTACATTTTCTTTGTTTATTTTGTTTTTGAAACAGGGTAGTATGTAGTGCTGGCTGTCTTGGAACTTGCTCTGTAGACCATGCTGGTCTTAAACTCAGAACTCTGCCTGTCTCTGCCAGAAGTGCTGTGATATGCCCAGCCATATCCTGAATTTTCATAATCAAAGTTCAATAAATATATAAGCATTATTATATACATTATGCTAAGGAAACATTCCTATCCCTAGTCTCTAGATCACTTAATTCTTCCTAATTTCGATATGCCTTTGACATTCTGAGGGCATCAGAGACCAACTTCATAAACCCTGTCCCTGTCCTAGGAGCTAGAAATATAATGCTGAACCAAGTATATTAATTCTCTGTTCACCATGTAACTTGCAATCTACTAGGAAAGATAACGCACAGAAGAGAAATCTGTCCTTCTGATAAGTGACAGAGAAACAAAGGGCATATTGCATAATTATCTTAGCGGCCATTGCGTCAAGCTGTGTGGGCAGGAATTGAACAGGACACACTAGGAAAGGAGACACTGCTCGAGAAGCAGGAGTTTGCCAACAAGACTGATGGAGGAAATCTAGGCACAGGGAAAAGCGTGTGGAAGCAGAGGGGATCTTCATTATTACCAAGGGCAGATGGACAGGGTCATTGCAGTTTCCAAGACTGAAATTCAGAGATCAACTTAATGGAACCGTTAACATGAAGAAGTTTTGGGGTGTTTGTGTGTTTGGCCCATTCTATAAATTATGCTCTGGATCAATGAGAGACTCTGTCTCAAAAGAGGTGGACAATATTCCTGAGGATGACACTAGAAGAAGCTGTCTTCTGGCCTTGCTCACTTTCACATACACTTGTATCCACACATATGTGCATCCACATATATCAAACATATGTGAATATATGCACATGCACTCATACACATACACACATTAATAAAAATAACAATAAAATAAAGCTTTTTGACTTGCCACTGAATCTTACTTTGCTTATTCTACTAAAGACCAATCAGACAATGCTAGTTCTCTGGGAGATTTTGGTTCAGCTGCGAGGGGGGGGGGGGGATTGGCAGACATTACTTGAAGGAAGGGCAAGTGTTGAGAAGGAGCTAAAACAAAGAGCTAAGACAACCCCAGAAGGCCATTAACTTCAA